TTTTCTTGGACCCCTTGCGCTTTGTCATAAACTCCCTAAATTTCTAACTATCTACAAAAGCTGTACTTACTATTATACTTAAAAAAAAATACATGTAATATTTATTAATTCAATTCAAAATTAAATGTGAAAATGTAAGAATTCAGTAAATGCTTAATTATCGACATTTGACATGAATTTTGTAATGTTTAATCTTACAACTCCCGGCGAATGAATCCAGTCTATATCTTTTTTCTGTTAGAAGATCGGTAATGCAGAAATTTACATTTTTTTATAAAAATGTATTTTTTTTCTTTGTTAGTCCATTAATAAATATTGAATATGACTTTTTATTATACATAGTATAAAATAACTAAGTATATATTAATATATTGTGTTGAGTTCCACTATACGGGACCCCTATTTTTATTAAGTAGATTTCACAATTTTTTTTCAATGATTTGGACTTTAGGGGGTCCATATGGACTACTTTGGAAATCACTGCTCTAAATCATCTTACTCATATACTTATGGCATTGTATCATTAACCAACCTTACTAACAAATAGGAGAACTATTATTAAAAGGATCACACAATTCATGTTATCATTTTTTAATATTAAAAATTGCGAGCATTATGTTGACGCTTTGTGCTAGTTTCTATCTAAAGTCCCATACTTCAATTTTTACTTTTTCAAGTATCTTACAAACGAAAATATGCAAAATATTCATGCAAAGGAATAACTTCGTGTTCTAAAATGCTTTCAGGATGTAAAATTGCGGCAGAATTTTGACTTATCAAATGAAGACAAAGTTTTCTCTACTTTTCTGAACATACACTGACGTTGTTATAAGGTTTACAAGTAAATAAAAGAACTTTAAACTTATTTCAGTTAAATTTGCTAAGTTTTTTGTTGCATGGAATAACATTTTGTGATATATGAATATAAAGTTAGTTAATTAGTGAATGATTTAGTTATTATATCATATTTTTATTAACTTTCCTTGGGGCAAGTTATAGTAATCGCAAAAAAATCAAATTATTTTTTTTTGCATAAATTTACTTTCAAAGGTTTCTGAACGTTTTGGCATACCTTAGAAAAAATGGATTAATGAGTGTGTGTGTATGTGTATGTGTGTATGTGTGCGGATACAAATTTTTGTCGATGATTTCGCGAACACCAATCAACCGATTTGAATAATTAAAAAAACAAAGCAGTGCGATTGCATTGTAAAAAAGTTCAAAAAATCCGAAATATTTCAAAATAAAAAAAAAGACCAAAACCTTTTTCCCAAAAAATTTATTTCAAAACTTTAATGTTTTTCAAAAATCAATTTTTTTCAAAGTATAAAAACAAATTAATCTTTTTTTAAAAAAATAGTTTTTGGAACAGAAAGTTCCAGCAATTTGCCTTAAGGCACGATACCATACACAACTAGTTTATGATACGGTCTTGTGAGTGATATACTTTTCCATTATTGTAACATGCAGTTGAATGATTTCCCATCGCTTTTGCTTACGAAACATAAACGTTACCAATAGATGTAATATTCTTTTATATAGTCATTTTGTTCAATGATCCGTTCACGGTCATCCGAATTTTCGCAACATCCAGGATTATTTATGAAAGCAATAATAGTTTTGCCTTTGCCTCAAGCAGAAATTCGCAACAGAAACCTATTATTTGCTCCGGCTAAAATACCTGACCATATCTTTATGCTTACACTAAAATATACTATGTTTGAATACAAATTAGAATTGAAATGTATATTTAGATGGCAATTAGTGTGTTTTCATTTATTTCTAACATAAGGGGATTGTGCTCAGAAGCATTTATTATGGTCAGGTAATTATTGCAGTAGAAGTTCTGAGGAATAAATTGAAATGTTTGCGTAAAGTCATACTTTTAGGTGCCACCGAACTCCACGACTCTTTTTGGCTTTCTCTTACTATTACACACATTTTTTTTTAAATTTTGGTGTCAACCGATTCAAAATAACTTCAAACGTGCAGAAAACATCAATGTAGCAAATCGGATTTTGTGGTTGCAGATCTATATATTTAGATCACATTGTGGTGTGGCATTTACAATCCAGTTAAATCTTTATAGTGACATTGAATAGTTCTTAGAATAAAATATCTCAACTTAACATAATCTATTTCTGTGTCGGAATCATATTTCAAATCTTTTCTTATATGCATACATGATATCTTATATTGTTCACGTGCCATTGAATTTATTCTCAATTTAAGGGCACTAAATATATATCTTATCGATTTTATTACTATGCAACAAATCAATCAAAACTTTATTGTCAAAAGCATTTTGATATTGTGATATGTGAAAATTGATACCTTTGGTGGATATTTGTCATAAAGCAACTTTATATACCGTTTATATTATTTTATTTAAATCTTACGACAAAAATGAATTTAATTAAATTGATCGTTGAAGTTCTCCAAATTTTGACCAATTTTTAATTCAGGTGCGATATAATTGTGATTTAGATTCGATTACAGTCATACTTCTGAGAAGCATGATGAATATGGTCAATTTTCTATATTGCTCACGACTAGTGTATTCTAAGATGATGATAGATGACTAATGGTTAAATTAAAGTAAAAACAAAGATTTAATGTTGTACTTGCTTTGAAATATTTTTTTTCAATATTTTTTTAAACTTATATCTTGAATGGGCAATAGTCTTACTACCCATGTTTGCTTATGTATTAATTTTCATCAGAATTTTGAGTAAAAAGTTCATTGTGTGGGATTAAAGTAAACTGGGCATCGTATATTTTGTAATACATTTTCATAAAGTTGGAAATTATTAATTACAAATGGAATCATTCCCACAATTGTTTTGAGGAGCTTTTCAGACTAAGTATTTCATCGTTCCAAATATCTGCAGGAAATTTTATATTAGCAAAACCTTAGGAAATGCAATAAAATGTTCTTATAACATATCACTTGTTATTAACTTCCCCAAGGAGAAGTTTATGTTTTCATAAAAAAATCCGATTTGCTAATTTTATGTTTTCTCGACGTTTTCATTCTGAATCGAATGAGACCAAATTTGGAAAAAGTATGTTGATGTGTGTGCGTGTATGTAAACAGATTTTTTCACCTTAAATCGAGGTTTTCTCAAAAAACAGCTGGACCGATTTTGAAAATTTAAAAGCCATTTGATGTATCTCGATGAGGACTATCTTTGTATGAGCCGTTTCTTTGTGAATCGCAGAAATGTGAAAAAAATTTCTGAATCTATTTTAAAAACTCAGGAACCGTTCAGAAGATATTGGTTGGAAATCGTGCTGATTAATTATAAAGGAATTTTTGACTGGTATTGGGAAAGCTTAATTAAGCTTTATGAAACAAAGGATTATGACATATTGTATTGTATGA